GTAGTGTGACAGGGGGTGGTGCCCCAACCCCTCAATCAGCCCTACCCTGAGCGTGACTGAGAGTGGCATCACAACTTCCCAATCCGCCCTGCTCTGTGCATGACAGAGGCGGCGCCCCAACTCCCCAATTGGCCCTGCTCTGAGCCTGACCAGGGGCTGCACCTAGGGATTGGGCTTGCCCTCTGCCACCTGGGAGCAGGCCTATGCCAGCAGGTCATTATCTCCCGAGGGGTCCCAGACTGTGAGAGGACACAAGTGGGGCTGAGGGACCTGTCCCCCGCCCCCGCCCCAAGTGCACAAATTTTTGTGCATCGGGCCTCTAGTACATATATAAAAGCCTAATATGCAAATTGTCCCCATGGGAGTTTGACTGGGAGACCAATCACTCGCTATGACATGTGCTGACCACCAGGTGTTCGGGCGGAACAAAGGAAGGCCCCAGCCAGCAGCCTGCAGCTGGCAGCCTGGGGAAGGGAGACCTCAGCCAGCAGCTGGAAGGAAGGCCTTGGCCTGCAGCTGGAAGACCCCAATAGGCCCTTACCTGTGCATGAATTTTGTGCACTGGGCCTCTAGTAAATAAATAAAGGGCACCTTCATCAGGCAGCTGGATTTTAGAACATCTATCTAAAGGAAAGAATAATATGATCTCACTCATTTGTGGATTATAGAGAACAACATAGACTGATGAAAAGGGACAGACCCAAAGACTGAGAAACAGCGATCAGGCTATCAATCCCCAGAAGGGAAGTAGGGGAGGGCGGGGGTAAGGGGAAGAGATCAACCGAAGGACTTGTTTGTAATACCTTAACTAATAATAAAAAAAAAATGCAAAAGAAAAAAAAAAAAAGAATGAGGTATGTTTCTATATACTTATGTGAAAGGCTGTCCATAATGTAATAATGTAAGTGAATAAAGTGTTACAGAGCAATATGTATAGTGTGACCCTATTTATGTAAAAATGATTGTAAGTATGTTCATGTATACCTATATCACATATATGTAAGTGTGTATATATTTGCAGATGCTTAGATAATTAGAGTAGTATGCCCAAGTGTGGAGACTGGAGAGGGCAAATCTTTCACCTTTTCCTTCTGCATTTCTGCATTGAATCTTTTCTGTAAGTAAAATTAAAATAAATATTTTTTTCATAAAGGGGGAAAACATAATTTGAATGCATCTAAGGAGAAGTATTATAAAATCTACTATAAAATATAAAGTTCTATAAAAATCTAAAGAACCAAATGTTAATAGTTGTAGAGCTTAAGAAATACCAAGATTGAGGACTTTCTGAGAAATACTGGAAGTAATACAAGTCCAGGGTTAGGTAGAGACAGGAGAGTCCACCCCTGATGAGTAGTACGCAGCCATTATTTGATCCTGGGACATCCACTAGCTCATCAGCAATATGAGGGGGCATGCTATATAGAGATGAACTCCTAACAAGGACATATCTCTATGTAAAGGTTCAAGAGATCAGCAGCTGTCCTCAGGACATTATATTCACAAATACCTACCTTCAAGGCCTCACTCATCCCTCGGCCAATCACAAGGGTCTGCACACCCTTCTTGACAACTTCCTCCACATCTGCAGGCTGCACACCAGGAGAATGCTGGGTGATGAAAGAAAAAGTATACGAGTTACCTGCTCTTTTTTTTCTTATTTTTTAAAAAATATTGTTATTGATTTCAGAGAGGAAGGGAGAAGGAGAGAGAGTTCGAAACATCAATGATGAGAGAGAATCATTGACTGGCCGCTCCTGCATGCCCCCTACTGGGGACCAAGCCCACAACCTGAGCATGTGCCCTTGACCAAAATCAAACCCGGAACCCTTTAGTCCATAGGCTGATGCTTTATCCACTGAACCAAACCAGCTAGGGCCAGCTACCTGCTCTTTTAATCTTTCTTTGTAATTGGCATTCTTATGGGATTCATTCATTCACCCATTCATTCATTGAAGCAATGTTTTGTTTGGGGCCCTGGGAATAACAGATGATAAACTGCTGCCCTTAAGGAGCTCTAAGTCTAGTGCAAAATATAGCAGACTGAGAAGAAATTAAAGTAGTTTTTTACAAGTGCGACAAGGAAGTAAGCTCCTGGTGTGACAACATAGTGAACGAGCACGGACATCAGGCCTGGGGTGGTGGAGAAGAGACTCTGACATGACCGTTGTCTGTCCCGAAACCTGGACCAAGGCCAGAATGGGAGCTGCTTTCTGCACCCCCCTTAAAGACTGTATGATTGTAATTGATCCTCATTCTGACATAAATCAGCACCCCTTTCTTGCCTCCTGCTATGTGCTGGTTCCTGGAACAGGTTGTTATCCTGAGCTGGTCAAGCATGTAATTTCCCATACCTGGTGGCATTCACACACCTGTGACTACTCATCCCCCAGCCCCCGCTCTCCCCGAAATCCTATATTCTCTGGCCCTGCCAAGCGGCTCATGGATCCATTTTGCATGCCTTGTAGGTAAGTTTCCCTTGATAAACTCCATTAATTACCAGGCTGGAGTGGCCAGCCTCTTTCTTCAGTCCCTGTTTGCTCTCCACGTATGGAGATAATTTTCAGTCTTGGAGCTTTTCCTGGGGTCTGCATGTACTAACAGGGGAGTTGGGGCAGGTGGTCAGGGAAGGCATCCCAGAGGAGGTGACATTTAAGCCGAGACCTAACAGACAACCAGGAATTAGCCAAGTTAAAGGAAATCAGGGAACAAGGCATTCCAAGTTAAGGTAATAGCATGTACAAAGGCTCAGAGGAAAGAAAAACCTAGTGAATTATAGATAGTTGAGTATGACTGGAGTGGAACTGACAGGGGAGGGAATAGAAAGAGATGAGGTGGGAGAAGAAAGCATTTGGACATGATGCCAAAATTTGGACTGTGGAAGGATTCCATAAGAATCCCACAATAGATTCGTATGATAGAATAAGATAGAGCACCAGCCTATGAACCAAAGGGTGATGGGTTCGATTCCCAGTTTAGGGCACATACCTAAGTTGCATCAGGGCAGATGCAGGAGGCAACCAATCAATGTTTCTCACTCACATCAATGTTTCTTTCTCTCTAAAATCAATAATAGCATATCCTTGAATGAGGATTTTAAAACGTAAAGAAAAAACTAATGATCCCACAGAAACTAATATTCTCTAAATAATGAAAAAAATCCTATATTAATGACAAGTAAATGTGACATCTGTATTAGGTTAATTGGCAACATATTAATAAGATCTGTATAGTAAGTATTGTATCAATGTTAATTTCGGATTTTGATCACTGTATTATGATTATGTAAGAGAATGTCCTTGTTCTCTGGGGGAAATACATACAGGCATTTAGGAGTAAAGGAGTATAATATCTGTAACAGTTCAAAAAATAATATGTATCAATGGAGAGGATGATAAAAGAAAATATGAAAAACTGTTAACATTTGGACCGGGTAAAGATGAGAATTCTTTGTACTATCCTTGTAACTTTTCTGTAAGTCTAAAATTATTCAGGAAATTAACAAGTAAATAAATAAAATAGAAACAGGAAATTAACAAGTAAATAAATAAAATAGGAAATAAAGCAGGAAGACAGCTCCTACAGCCACATACTTCCTGATTTAGCTAGGCAAGGAAGCAAACTTAACAGGAGGCAGGTGGCTCCAAGGCAGGAGCAGAGGCTGCCCGTCTTGGCTGGCTTCCTCCCTCCATGTCTCTTGGTTCTCCATGGGTGTGACATTCTTCACTTAGTCAGCAAGTGCTCCAGAGCTGATAGCAAAGCCAGTCTCTCTCTTTTCTATTCTGACGTACCTCCTCAGCACCTTCCTACGGAATTTACACTCAGACTGTATGAGCTTATGTTTAGGGAATATCAAAGAGTGTTCTAAGAACACCTGCATTTCATAGAGTGAACCAAACTGATCAGCAGCAAGGGCACACCCTCATCTTGAGAGAGGCCGCAGAGTTAGTGCCCGGGTGTCTCTGAATAGTATCTCTGCCTTCAGCTTTCCCAGTTAGGAGAGATTGAATTTATTCTTTAAAATTACTTAGGTTCATAAATTTTTAAAAGGCAAAACAAAAAAGGGGATATTGTTTCTGATTACAATATTATTGATTACAATAATTGGTACTTAAATAATGTAAGAGGATTGGATTAAATGCCTTTTTCCCACAGCTCTCTGATCAATCCTAGAACCACCCTGCACTAAACAGTGATGATATGGAGAACCTAACATTTTTTCCAGAAGCTATGACCAAAGCAAATACTTAACAGAATTACAAATTTGGATTGGAAAGCTTCACCTTCCTTAAGTAAATGCATCCACCTCCATGATTGAATGATTCCTTCATTTAACAAAGGACAGCACATATTTTGAGAAGCACCATGATGCCCTGACTCTAAGAGCTCACATTCTGGTATAAGGAAACATGGCAAGTGGGAAGGGAGTGAAAGGTCAAGAGAGTTCAAAACCATAATCATCCAGAGATTCAGAGACTGGAGACAGCAGCAGCCCATCAGAGCTGCCAATCAATGGAACCCAAGTGACAAATTCGGCTGCCGTGTGTGCTATACTGCAGGCTCAGGGTGTCACATGCAGAGCAGTGAACACTCACTGCAGCAGCCTGTGGATCCAGGCGTTGGCAAGGGATTACTCACAGCTTAGCGCAGAGGCCTGCTACTGAGGCGTCCTCAACCTGCCTCCAGCTCCTCCTCTCCTTCTTCCAGTCCCTGGGGGCAAACCACGAAGGCTCTGACTCTGTTCCTCTTTTTAAAGAGGCTTTACATCAGAGGGTGTTGTGAGGCTGTAAAAGCTTATTGTGTTTTCTTGGGGGGAAGCTATTAATTGTGGGGAAATGTCCAGCTAATACCCATCATGCCAGCTAAACAATAAGGTGGCATCCTATATGGCTTAGACATTTCCCCCTCTTCTATATCAAATCTGAAAAGAAAACATTCCTAAATTACACTTTCAAGGAAGCAGTTCCTCCTGCCAAAATGAAGTGAGCATAAATGTTAGAAGCAAAGCTGTCATCTGGTTGTGCTGCTGATGAAAGCGATTCTCTGAGTGAAGGTTAAAGGATCTCTGGAATCTGTCCCTGTGGACACTGCCCAAGTCACATTCTCCTTATCGCTTGGGGAATTACAGCCTCTAAACTGATCTTCCTGCCTCTGCACAGGCATCTGTTCTTGTGCCATAGGCCACTCCGGCAATCAATCTGGTGGAGCTTATGGCTCCCTTCTCAGCGAAGTTTTTAAAAGCTTAAGAGAAAATGTATAGGATTACAAACAAAACAGATTTTACACACTAAAATTATCCAACTATTAAAAAGAGGCCTGGCCAGGTTGCTCAGGTGGTTAGAATGTTATCACGATACACCAAAGTTGCGCATTTGATCTCCAGTCAGGTCACATACAAAAGAATCAACCAATGAATATATAAATAAGTGGAACAACAAATCAATGTTTCTCTCTCTCTCTCTCTCTCTCTCTCTCTCTCTCTCTCTCTCATCAATCAATCAATAAAACATTAAAAACAGATGTGTGGTCTAGTAATGTGCTTCTTTATTAGTTTAGAAGAGCGGAAATCATTTCCGAAAGTCCATTAGCAGACTTACCCTCAAATCTCACAGTGGCAGACTGCTAGTTCTTTCAAAATCCAATCTGTCCCCTTTCTACTGCCCAGCTAGATTCCATTTTCCGTGCTCCCGTGCAGCTAGGTGTGGAATATGTGACTATGCTATCGCCAATAAGAATTCAATGGCATATGAGCAGAAGAAATGATGCCATGTCTAGGTTTGAGCCTTGAAACATTGAGCAAGTGCTTTTCTTCTCTTTCTTCTTCCATTAAGTTAGACTTCTGGCCATGGCTACAACTTGTTCCACCATTCAAATGCTCAAGAAGATGGTGGAACAACACAGAGGAAAGCATCTGGGGCTGTTGGGTTGAGCTAGAAGTATAATTATGAACTCATGACACACACACACACACACACACACACACACACACACACACACACACATTTTCTGGCTCTGTATACTGAATGGGCTTAGATGTAGTGACATCTCAGTAGTAATGAGCCCATCTAATACCCAGCTCTTGGGTTTCTAGATATCATTTCTCACTAAAAGGAACCAGGGATCCCTGAAGAAATGGCTGAACCCAGGAAAAAGATATCTATTATGCCAGAAAGCAACACAGTGGTAAAAAAAACTGATGGGAACATGTCACAAGAACACTGGTTAAATTTGGGACAACTTAAACCTCAAAAAATATTAATTACTAAAGGCCTAATGCATGAAATTCGTGCAAGAGTAGGCCTTCCTTTCCCCAGCTGCCGGCACCGGCTTCCCTCTGGCACCCGGGACCCGGGCTTTCCTCGCAGCCCTGGCTTCATCCTGAAGGACATCCAGTCTAATTAGCATATTATGCTTTTATTATTATAGATGGTAAGAGATTAAAACATGTTCTTATTCTCTGTGGGCTGCTACAACAAAATACCACAAACTGTGTAGCTTATAAAACAACAGACATTTATTTTTCATGCTCTAGAGCAGTGGTTCTCAACCTTCTGGCCCTTTAAATACAGTTCCTCATGTTGTGACCCAACCATAAAATTATTTTCGTTGC